CAAACTCAAAAATATTCTGGTTTACAATAGCTTCGAGGTTACATAATCTTCCAAGTTTCCATTTCACTAAATTAGGTCAGCTTTTGACACCAGCATCATTTTCCCTGACTTTTCTTTTTCAATCCCGCTGCAGCAGAGATCCAGGTGCAGTTGTGAGTGACCTACTTAACTAGAATTTGGGGGGCCCTCAGACAGAAACGTGTGGTGTCTTCATTCTATTTTGCTCAACAGACCTCCTTAATGAACTGAATCTCTAATTCAGCTGGCTAAAAACCACACATCTTAAGCAATTCCCAAATCCAAATATCCAGGTTTAATTATACTCATGAGTGTACATTCAAATGTGGTACAGGCAAAAGAGCGATGGATGAATCAGGTGTGAGGGCCTGTTGGCTCACAGTCCCACTCTTCTGCTGACCCCAGTGCGATCTTGGCACATCCCTCACCTTCCAGTGCCTCAGTCTTGTCACCTTGGTGAAGAGAAGGTTAGACTCTTGCATCCTTTTTGGCTTGACTCTCTATGAAGATTTCCTGAGCACCTACCAAGGATAAGGTGCTAGATATAAGGGTAGAGGAGGTACAAAGATGAACTGACATTGCCCTATCCTCAAGAACTTTCCACTCCATGAAGGAAGAGAAGATCACACAGAACAAAACCAAATGCTTAGTTACCTTATTTATCTTACTTATTCCTCAGGATTGGCATTGTGCCTGGCACACCATAGAGGCTGCATGTGATGGGAGTGAATCCGGAATGGTTCACAGGTGTTCTATCTGAATTGGCTTTTAAAAGGCCATTCAACTCTCAGGGGCTCCCTGATACCATTCTCCAATGTGATTCAAAATCTTAAGCCAGCGTTCAAGGTTCTCCTCGTTCTGGTCCCAACATACCATTCAAGCTCCATCTCTCTTACCCAGAACTATGCTATAGCCTTGCTGTACCTCAGATATTACCCATAACTTTCTACTTCTTTGCTCACATTCATGCCATCCCTCATCCTGACATGTCCTCCAATCTCAACACAATCCAATTCCGTTATCCCTCAACATTTTGAATTTCTCCTGTTTTATGAAGGCGGTCTTACAAAGCCTTTCCTGACTCCTCCAATCACATGTTCTCTCTCCCTTCTTTGAAATTCCACAAGATCTACTGACACTCCTGTTATGGTACATATGCCACTTAGAACTCCATTACTGCCAGGTAATGTCTTTGTCTCAAGATAATAATCTGTGACATTAGATGCTACATTATTCATCCATGTTGCCAAACAAATGGTGGGTATTCAGTAGATTATTTGACAAGACAAATATAGAAAAGACAATCTAGGACTCAGAAACTGAATAAACAGTGGCAGTAAATTAGTACATTTGTGGCTTCTGCCTAGAATGGTGACTACTGCAGTTTGATTCTTGAACCTAGGGTTTAGTTGATAGAATCACAGTGGTTAGAAGTTTAGAAGACAGGCTGGATTCAGATTTCAGAGCCTTGAATGCCAGGGTAATAAAAATGGCATAGGGCACCTGGGTAGCTCAGTCGGTTAAGCATCTGCCTTAGGCTCAGGTCATGATCCCAGGGTCCTGGGATCGAGTCCTGCATTGGGCTCCCTGCTCAGCGGGGAGGCCTACTTCTCCCTCTCCCTCTGCCTGCCGCTCTGCCTACTTGTGTTCTCTCTCTATCTCTCTGTCAAATAAATAAATGAAATCTTTAAAAAAAATAAAATAAAAATGGCATATATTTAGTTCTCAATGAGTCACGGATGGTTTCAGGAGCTGGAGAGTAACAAAACCTGAGATAGGAAGATCAAGCCAGAAGCATTCCAGTTAACGCATCAGTCTCCTGGAAACTGGAATGGAGGTAAGTCCATCTCTGAAAGAAGAATCGAGTCTTGCTGTCCTGATAAAATTAAGTGCATGAACCTATAGATCTGTGAGTCCTGGAAAAGTCACTAAGCTAAATACTGCTTTGTAGGCTTCCTGGCAATCCGATATTTTAGTACCCACCTCAATAAAAGGAAAGAGACCCACACCAAAGCATCATTACTAAATTTCCAAACCGGTGAATAAGAGAATATTTGATATTTTACCAGAGAAGGGAGAGGGGAACAGAATACAAAGGAGAGGGAATCAAAATAGCTTTGGATTGCCCAGCAATAACAGCAGAAGCTAGAAGACAGAGGGAAAATGTCTTTCAAATTCAGAAAGAAAAGCATTTCCCACCTAGAATTCTATGCTGAGCCAAACCATGAACGAAGGTAAGGGTAAAATGAATACATTTTCACACATACAAAGTCTCTGAAAACTTACCTTCAGAACACACTGAAACAAAAGTCTAAACCAAGAAAGAGAAAAATAAGGCATAGAAGAAACAGGAAGGGCACCTGGGTGGCTCAGTCAGTTAAGCATCAGACTCTTGATTTCAGCTCAGGTCATGGTATCGGGGTCATGAGACTGAGCCCTGCATCGGGCTCCCCACTCAGTGGAAAGTCTGATTGGGATACTCTCTCTCTTCCGCCCCCAACCTTCCCCCCATGTTCTCTCTCTCTAATAAATAAATCTTTGAAGAAGAAGAGGAAGAAGAAGAGGAAGAGGAGGAGGAAGAGGAAGGGGAGGAGGAGGAAGGGGAGGAGGAGGAAGGGGAGGAGGAGGAAGGGGAGGAGGAGGAAGGGGAGG